CATCGAGTTACGTCATTTTTTCTAAAAAATACAGGTTTTGCTTCAAAGTCGTGTAAATCGGTCAAAAAAAATCGTAGAAAAAATAAAAAAAAAGCATTTTGTAGGTAAAATTATGTAGTTTATGAAACGTTAATTGAATTTTTTGAAAAAAATTTTTTAATTGAGTTTCAAGTAGTCAAACATAAGTTAATTTTAAGGAACAAAACAATGTGTTCTTTTTTAAGGCGTACAACAAAGAAAATAAAAAAATTTTAAAAATCCACCGAAAGTGCGTTAAAGTTGAAACTTCAAGCTTCAAAATTCTTTTTTAAATTTTTTTTTACGATAATTTTTCGCCGACTTACAGCAGTTTGAAAATAACCTAATTTTTAGGGTTTATGAAGTGTTCCCTATTTTTTTTGTACGAGTGTATATTCGACAAATAGTTCACCGATTTATTTCTGTTGCGGACCTGAAACGAGTATCAGAGAAAAGGTACGTTTGCAGTACGGATCTAGCATTAAATTCTACAATATTACGGTAATCGTAATATAATATTGTAATAAAGTTGATAGTAGGTACGTTTAAATTTTTATTTCAAAAACATTACAGGAATGATAGAAAAACCTTAGCGCAATGTTTTTGCAACGTTATGGCACTCCCATTTCAACATTACTGAAATTTCGGAATCGTGGTCAAAGTATGTTCATAATGATGTTCTATACAACATTAAGAACTACATATTTAACAACATTACAAGTTGTAGAATATTGTTGCAATAACATTGTAATAATGATTTTTTGCTTATTAATGTGTCTAAAATGTATTTGATACAGGTCATTAACCTGGCCAACAAGGAAAGGTACGGAAGTTTCCCTCTCCAATTTTGATGAGATTTTAAAATGTTGTTTTCTAGACAAAAATAAATGGAAGTTTTAATCGATCCCCGTTACTACCTTCTTCTCTCACTTAACTCTTTGGACCAACGGCTTAACGTCTCTTCCCGAAAGACGGAGCCCTGTTTGCTCCGCACAAGAGCCTTTCTCGCACGGAGAGCGCAGCTTTCGGAAAATAAATTCCATGTTTACGTGCTCAAGTGGACTCGAATCTGGTTTCTCAGATTACGAGTCTGCTGCTCTACCACTAGACCACACTACCGCCTTAGACAAAAATAAGGGACACGTATTTTTTGTATGTACGTGCCCATACGCATATTTAGGGGCAGAATCATCCATTTGAAAAAAATTAACTTTTCTCTTTCGGGCCGAATATTTCCGAAACTATAAAAGATAGAAAAACATTTTTTAAGCAAAAGTTGAATGGTTTGAAGAGTACTTTAAAATAATAATAATAAATTTTTATTTTTTAATAATTTATAATTTAGGTTAGGTCCGTACGCTCACCAGACTTCAATTAGACAATTTTAAATCTATTTGTTTCGTACCCCCCCCCCCACTTTGTGAGTACTTCCTTATCGATTAATCGATTAATATATGACTCATGACTGTTCACTCGGGGCCCAAACTGGGCACAGTCCTTTCAGGAAATTAATAAGATAGTGGAAGTATATTGAAGACTTTTATTAGATTTTTGAAAAATTTAAATACACAATTATAACGTACATAAATGGATCATAAAAGTTTTTCCTAAAACATTTTACATATATCTTACCGTTTCCATGATAATAGCTTAGAATACTATCAAATATAAACTTATCCTTGAGGTTGTTTCATACGTCTTAAACCTTAAAATGACCATATATAAAAAGATATGTACCCTTAAATTTTTGTGTTTAACAATATATTTTAGGAAAAGTTAAATTGATTCCGGACAAATATAGTTTTTCTAAGACATAAAAGAAGCATAATTGTCTGAAATTAATTGGATTCTTCAATTTTCGAAATATATTGTTAAACACAAAAATTTAAGGGTATATATTTCTTTATACATGCTTATTTTAAATTTTACAGATGTATTGTAGAATAACATTATCAGAAAGACATCTTATTTTTTTATATATAATATGTTTGAAATATTTTGTTTTAATGTTACCGCGTCCCGATAAAGTATATATATTTATTGTATTATATTATCTTCTATCTTATTATCTTCTATCCATTCTTCGTTAATAGCTGATATGATTTTGTCGTTGTCCATCATTGTGATATGATTACCTTCCACATAATGAATTTGCACTTTACCTTCGGTAACCTAAAAATAAGTTTCTTGTTATAAAGCTTCTTCTTATTTCTAAAATTATATAGTCATATATTTCAAAAATATCTCTATCTAAATTAAATTTACCTTATGTAGACCATAATCCTCTTCAGTAAAAGAAGCAATCGGAAATGTAGGTTTTAGCAATGTTATATGCGATTTAAGGCGAGGTAATGAAGAAATATCATAATCCTGTATAGCAACTATATGATTGTAAGCTGTAGAATATATCAGTTTTTGATTTTTGATGGTCAATCTATTTAAATCCTTCGGGAAGTAAGCATGAAATACTTTTAATTTTTCGTCCACCGTGTTACATTTATTTAGCTCTAACGCAAGCTGTAAATAAGAAAATTTTGTATGATTAATTATAATAAATATACCAAAATAACATCTACGTTTTATCAATATAAATATAAAAAATTTATTAAATTTTTAAACCATGAGATAAAATCTATTGTTACTCTTATTAATTTATTAAAATTCCTAAATCTTCTTCCATAATTATTAATACTCATTTATTGTGCTTTCTATCTAAAACTATTATTCTTTGATCTTAACACACACATACAAAACGAAATGTAAAACAATATATTTTACTATTTGAAGATTCAAATACAAATCTTTGAAGATATTCATGTTACAATGAGTGATTTTATGTGTGTTCTTATTTTATTTAAATTTATGTAAGATTAAAATTACATAAATAGTTTTTATGATAAAAAATGTGTTTTTTTAAATAATTTACTAACTGTTTTCTTGTTAATTATAGTGTACATTTCCAATAAACTAAGTAATATTATGTTTTGTAACTCTTCTGGCGAAGTACAGTCCAAATATTGATTAGTCCAAAGTTTCAATTGATCAGGAGCTCCATCTATTAGTATTAACCGTCCTGAGAAACTATAAGCTTCTAATAATCTTGCTAATTCGATGGCAATTAAGGATCCAAATGAATAACCCACTATTAGAAATTCCCTTTGATCTTTCATTTTCTTTAATATGTGCTAAGAAAATACAAATATTAATGTATGTGTAAGCTGTGGTATAATACGAAAGATTTTTATCTAATTGTTAAATATTACTTTTAACATAAATATTTTAATTAAATTTAATCTTCTTACTGGCAGCAAATAAGTGGCTGACTTCATCACTGAATGATTGTCGTCAGGAATATTAAGTACACCATGTTGCACACACGTTGCCGAAGATTTAATTCCTGATGCTATAGATTTATATACACTTAAACATCCTTCGATTCCCGGTAAGAGAAATATATTGCCTCGATTAACCTCTTTCGTAACAAGTTCTACAAGAATATCTGGAACAAAGTCTGAATCTTTCACTTTTCGAATCAGCATGTCGAAGCCTCCCAAATTACTTGGATTAATTTTATTTGTATCTTGTATCTTTCCTTGGTCGGGTGTAATTGTCATTTGTCTAAGTTTAGCAAAATTTAGAGTTCTAATGTCTTGCGCTGTCAGGGAAATATCGAACTCTCTTTCCAACATTTGCTTAATTTCCACTGCCATCATCGAATCCATACCAATTTCGGCCAATGGCATATTTGATGGTATTGCGTTTATGTTCTTCAATCCTATTTTGTTTGAAATAAAGTAAGAATTGTATAATAAAGTCAATTATATATTATTTTATTTAATCTTTTAAAATTGAATATACACCAAAAATTTTAATCAATAATCAAATTGTTACATTTTTTATACCTTTAAGCACTTAGCTATTTCAATACAAATGCTTAGTAAATAGAAACATTGTTAATTATTGCCTAATTAGCACATATTGGTATGCATTTTATTTGAAACTTTTTAAATTATTAGGAAATCTTCTCATGTCGTAAAACGTTAAAAAAAATTTGAAATAGTATAAAAGATACATCTGAAGAAAAGTTTAATCTTCAAGTAATGAATTAAGGAGCGAAACTCGCGAACACAGACGATCTGTTTGTGATTGAATGTATGTCATTGAAAAATGATTTTTTGACAAGTAAATGACTATATGTATATAAAAGTGCATTTCTTTAATCAACTATTATTTTGTAAATAAAAATGCTTTAATTGTAAAAGCTTAAATAAGTTATTAGTTTATTAAAAAATTTAACGTTTTTTTCCTAAAAAGTTTAAATTAACAATTTTTTATAGAAAATTGTTTTAAATAATTTATTATTAATGTATAACAAATAAAATTATAATAAAATTATAAAATAATTATATTTTGCTCCCTCATAGAGGAAGCTTTGTTTTCGTAAACCTCGTGTATGAACCTTTGATCGCGTATAATGCTAGCTCCAATCAACTAAATCTTAAAGAATTATATATGAAATATGGGTAGAAAAGACTAAAAAACATAATAAAATTAAAAAAATTGCTAATAATAAAGGGGTTACCGATTTCTGTCTAAAAGTCAACGTAATGATCTAAACAAAAAATGTTTATTATTCTGGACAACAATTGGCAACTAGTGTATAAAAAACGTCTTTACTACCCTCAGGTTTAAGTCCTTATCGAGCAATTATTTCTCTTTTTTTCTTTCAGATATCCCACTTTATGGCTGACTAGATTTTCGGAAAAAAACAACTTCTTTTTCTTCTAAATATCAAATGCGATCTAAAAATTTTGATTAAAACTCAAGTTATACAATAATAATTTAAATAAGAGAAACACGTAGAGACTTAGAGAATTAAGTCTACTGCAATTGTGAGAGATAGTTTTCCAAATATTATAAGCATTCCCGTAAATTTAATTTAGTGCAAAAAATATATTTTTTGAGACATTACCTATAGTTATTCCAATAAATACACTTGGAATAACATTTTGATTTCACTCTTATTTCATGGGATTATATGTATTTAGTATATTTCTTTGTTTAGCTTTATATAAAACTGCTTACCCATCATATGAGCAACTGTTTCATAAATATTCATTGATCCGCCAATTTTTGCTTTTTCAGCAACAACCATACTGCTTACAACAGGTCGATCTTGTAACAAAAATACTTCTAATGTATCCAAACAGGAAGTTATTCGTTGTTGCAATGTACCTCCAATAACCAATTCCTTATTTTCTTCTTGCATATCTGCCACGAGTCCGACATCACCAACAGCACCCCATTGTATCGCTAAACCATGTAATCCTTCTTTCATCCTCTTCTCACAAATTTTCTCCATTACGGAATTAGCCATCCCATAATTTGTCTGGCCTGCGTTTCCTCTTCCACACGACACGGAGGAAAAAACGACAAAATGTCGAAGTTGCAGGCAGATCTTTCTCGACAATTCGTCCATTTTTTTCGTCATCCATGCTTTCGATTTGAATGAATCTTCGAACGTTTGCGATGATTGATTTTGAAATATACAATCTTTTAAAACAACTGCAAGATTAAATATGGCATCCACCGGTGCTCTTTTTTCAGCAAATTTTAATAGGGATTCACAATCTTCATGTTTCAAATTATTATCGACTGTAACGATCTGTACATCCACACCGTAAGACCGCCATAGCTTTACTCTTGATTGCTGATAACCTGTTCTAATCCCGGTTCGTGATGTTAATACCAGATTTTTTGCACCTCGCAGAGTCAACCAATCTGCTAGTTCTAAACCAAATCCGCCAAGTCCACCCAAAATAACGTAGCATTTATGATCCAAACAATGATAACGTGGATGAGCGAGTAGTGGAGCATCCAAAGGCTCTTCCTCTTTGTGAACTCTGATAATTATCTACGAATAAGAAACAATATTTTTTTCTGTAAAGTAATAAATTATAAGTAACAAAGATTTTATATTTTATTTTATTATTGAAATTGTTTTGCATTTTATCATTAATTTTATTATTAATTATTAATTTTAATTAATTAATAATTAAACGTTACTTATTAATATAAATACAAAAAGTTTCTTGGTCAAATAAAATTTAAATAAACCTACATTTGTTACTACCTTTATAGCATTAATTAGAAACAAAGAATTGTTTCTAATTTGATATGATAAAATATTCTGTATCATAATTACATATTTCTGTGTATATTAAGAAATAATTGTACCTTGCCAATATGTTTTCCAGCTGCCATATATCTAAAGGCAGCTTCTATTTCATTTCTTTCGAAGACTCTCCTGCATAGTGGTTTAATAGCACCGTCCTTTAAACCTTCTGTTATTGTTTTCCACAACCTTGACTTTTGTTCTGCGTTTGAATAGAATAATTTGTCTAATAAAATGCCATAAAAGCTGATATCTTTAGAAAAGATAGATATATCCAAGGAATTATTGGAAACCATATCAAATTTTCCAATTTCTAGAAAACGACCACCATGTGCTAAACAGCGAACAGATGCTTGTAATTTTTCTTCGGCTAAAGAATTCAATACGATATCTACCCCACGACCTTTTGTACGCTGCATAATCATTTGTTCAAAGCTTGTATCTCGAGAGTTTCCGATATGATCTTCGGGAATCGAGGGAAACGTTTCTCTTATAAACTGTCGTTTCTCGACAGTTCCAACTGTCGTAAACACTTCGCAACCTTTGTGAAGCGCAAGATAAATCGCAGCTTGACCAATGCCTCCAGTACCAGAATGGATTAAGATTTTGTCTCCCTTTTTCATTTTACCTTTTATGTATAAAGCATAGTAACACGTGCTGTACACACACGGAATCGTTGCTGCGTCTTCCATTGTCCACTTGTCAGGTATAATCCAACTGAGATATTTATCAGCCACAAGAATGTTCGTCATTCCTCTATGTATGAAAATTTTGAAAATGTATTTATTTATTTAATCGTTACTTTAAAATGACGTATATCTTGCATATTTTTAATTTAATATTAAATTTAAGTTAATGTTACTTAAATTGAAACGTTATTAATACTAATTAATAATACTCATATAAAATAGAATTTAATACTGTCAATTGCAAAAAGTTCTTTCTATCGCACATGTATTGAAACTCTATATTTTACCCGTGTGAACATAATCCCATTATCCTCTGCTTATGCGTATTGAAACCAACAAATTCTAAGCCAATAAAACAGTCGTTACCGCGTTCGAACGTTTCAGCATTGAGTCTGCCAGTAGCTATCATAATATCTTTAAAATTAACAGACGTATAAATTACATTAACAAGATTTTCATGGTTAATGCAAGACATTCTGCTCTGTGCCCAGCAGAGAGTACTCATATCTCCTTGTACCTGTTAAGTAAACATTAATTAATATTATTTATTATAAAATTTATAATAAGTAGAACATCTTAACATACCATCTGCGTAACGTAAGCCCTCTGAACAAGTTTTGGTTCTAACGATGGTAATGGTAAATGCCTGTATGATCCCCAAACGTTACCGGTACGTATAACATTGATGGGTAGGTCCAACTGTAGCTGCTTCGTGTACAGCGGTTCTTGCAAAGAAAATGTAGGCGCTTTGTCATCTTGAATAAATACGCTTCTAATTATTTCGCCGCCTGGTTCTTTTCGCAAACAATTAATAAAACCGAGTAGCCCGCATTCGAAGTCTTTTTCCGAGACGAGAATTATCTCCGTATCTACACCAGTCTCGTTTTGCACATTCATGATTGATTTCAGTTCATCTACCCATGAAAATTCGTAATTGTTCACATGTACAATCCGCTGGTTTCTGGCAATATTTTGCGTTTTTCTTAATAACAAAAGCTTCTTGTCATTTATTTGTTTTTCCAGTATAATATCCAACTCATACGTTTTCAGGCATGAATAATCGTAGGCACCGGATTCCTCCAAAGTCAATAGAAAACCTTGTGGCATTAACAGAGACAGCAACTGTTTGTATAATGTTTTGCTATTTTTTGTCAAAATATTGAAACCAAGGACTATCAAACAATTCTCGTCCTTCGACAACTTAGTAATTTCCGTTGTAGAAACGTTGTCGGGTAAAGAAATATTTGAGAATTTCTCGTGGGTCGTCACGAGTTTAGTGTAGTGTCGAATCTGCGGTAAATCATTTAAGATTTTACTAATAAGTGGAGAATTTAAATCTTCTGGTACCACTTTGTCACTATCGTCGACAAATTCGATAATTTTAACATTTATCATATTGCAACATTCAAGTGCAATGTGCGTCGACATTCTTATTGCATCTTGCAACGACGTAGTACCTAAATCACGATGAGCAACAAATTTGTATTCTTCAAGAACGGTATTAACTACTTTTTTTCGGTGAGATATAGGTGTAGCCACAGTACCACAAATTTCTATTCCTCCAGATATTATAGCGTCTAAAGACTTGTAACGACGAACAGAGAATTCTGCAACGTAGCGAATAAAATTTATTTGTCAGGTAATTGGCCGCATTGTATCGCTTATTTTACTTACGTCTATCTTCAATTGGATAATCTTGAATTATCTGTATGTGATATTTCGGATCGATAGTCAGTTTGCGAATTCTTGTTGGAACATAAAGGCTTCTTGAATTCTGTCCTAAAATCATCATCTGTAACATACTGTCCATAAATGCCACCCAATTAGATGTAGATGCGATATGGCCGTTTGATCCCGTAACCGATGCGCTTTTTAACCCACGAAATGCACCGGTATATTGATAACCGCGAAGTTTTAATTCCTTATAGATGTCTTTTGTATTCATTTCTTCCTCATCATCGATACATTCAGCAAGATTAGCTGATATTTTCTCATTTTCAATATTGGATGGAATTCGTACTGTTCCAGTAACAATAGCATTATCTCCTTCGGTTATTTCAAACCTATTGCTACCTATAATAGATGTTTGTGTAAATTCATTAACGTAACATAATGTTAGAATAAGTCAAAGTTAAATGTAAATGTGTCGATACGGTGCTGGACCTTACAAAAGCAGTTGACTTGTGAAAAGAAAAAAGATTCCGCGTTAAGATTAGTTATTCTCGTATATTTTTTGTGTATATTTTTTATCTTTTATTTATGGCGTATATTGCGTTATAAAAGTAGCATAAGTTTAATCTAATTAAAAAATAAAAAGTTTACGCTAGAAAATTAATTGGTTACATAATAATATTACCTTCTTGGATCGAGAAAGTTAATTCGATCTCATTTTGATGTGATAGTACTGTAGCACGAATAAAATTAACGTCTTCAAACACAATTGGTGTATTGATATATTCTTGGTTTTTTAACGATGCGATCATGTCCCAGATATAAAAAAGATACCCCATAGCAGGAAATAAATTTTTTTCATTAACGACATGGCCTATTAAATACGCAAATTCTTCATCAGATGTACTAATACTAACAACCAATTCCTTTTTGTCAATTATTTCTTTTTGACAAGCTCGCATTACATACAAATTTTCTAAATGATCCCATCTGCAAACGTCATTAAAAATTATTATATAATCTTCGTGTAAACAAATTATTGTAGAAATTACTTAATTCAAGATTTGATGTAAAATTGAAGCACAGATTCTAAAAAATCACTGTTATCTAGCTGCTCTTTATAATAGGCATAAAAGGATTAACATATGTATAGGAATACATTTATCTTTGAGATAAGTAAGATGATAAAATGTCTTCAAAATACAGAGATGTGATTTTGAAGTTAAGGGGGTCGTCTGGTCAAGAGGCTGTTTTTTGGGGGGAATTTTTTGTAAGGAATCATAAGAATACACTTTTTTTAAACTTTACATCACATTTATTGATATTTGTAAAGTATTTAGAAATTTTTCCAAGTTGATATATGAAAGAATCCGCTGTAGAGCGCCCCGACGACAGCTGTGTAAAAAAAACGGTACCCACGATTCCGGATCTCCAGTTCATCCAAAAAAAAAAAATTCTCTTAATCTGTGGCTATCGTGTGAACTAGAACCAAATAAAAATATTGAAATTTCAATTTTTGCCAACGTTTTGAAAAAAAGTTTCATTATGAACTTTTTTCAAAACGTTGGCAAAAAGTTTCATTATGAACTTTTTTCAAAACGTTGGCAAAAATTGAAATTTCAATATTTTTATTTGGTTCTAGTTCACACGATAGCCACACATCCACAGATTAAGAGGATTTTTTTTTTTGGGTTGAACTGAAAACCCGGAATCGTGGGTACCGTTTTTTTCAGCGGATTCTTGGCCATGTATTAACTTGGAAAAATTTCTAAATACTCTTCAAATATCAATAAATATGATGTAAAAGTTTCAACAAAGTGTATTCTTATGATTCCTTAAAAAAAATTTCCCCTCAAAACAACAGCCTCTTGACCAGACGAGCCCCTTAAATGATAAAACTAACCAAGTTCGAAAAAGAGTTTAAAGTTCTAATTCGCTATTATATTGAACATGTTCTCTCTTCTGACTATTTTACCCAAATATTTTAAAATTTATGAAAGTGTTTCCTTTTTTTGATAATAATTTGTTTATTTGTGCCTAAACAAAAAATATGCATACCTTATGAGAGGAGAAATCATTGGGGTACCGCGGCTTACAGGAAATTCCACTGTCGGATAGAGATTTGCAATTTGTGGCTGCAATCCTGCGTTATATAGTTTTCCGATAGATTCTAAAAATATCTCATTATTATGATC